GAAAATATAAAAATCAACAGGTAGCAAACAATAATAAAATATTTATTGATTCATCAATAATTTCCTTATGTGAGCGTTCCATTTCGTGGTACAAAACAATATTCGACAAATTTCATCATGCAACCGTTTATCATTTGAAAAGACTTAAATCCTGATAATCAAAAAAAGCAAGGCTAATGGAACCTTAACTAATTACACAATCTATTGTTGTTTGGTGGTTTCATATTCTACAGACATTATATATATGTTTAAATATGATAGAAAATATTTTTAAATTGTTGTGAATCGTGTATATCCTTATCGATAGGGTGATAAGCTCGTCGATAGTGGCCATTTCATTCTGGTCGTATTCTACTACTTCAATACCTGTAAAAACACAATAACATATTTATGTTTGCGTTTGTGGTTTCTTGTTTCAACGAAACGACATGCATATTTGATTAATAATTCGCTAATTCCTGTTGATAATTTGTTGTTTCTCCCAGTTTATTCAATTAAAGTGCAGTGTGATACGGTCATTGCACATATCGATGTACTATCGATGTTTTGCTGCAAGGTCGCACTCGAGAAAAAAAAACTAAAACAGAAATACCCGCCACAAACTAAAAATTGTTGTCTATTGTTCGCCAGTTTTCTTTGTTGCAAGTTCAAAACCTGACTTTCTCCGGTGCTTAGGATAATTAGTGCAAGTTTCTCGCGATACTTCGTCCCGATATTGAAAACCAGTTTCGTTGTCTTTGTGACTCATCAGAATTCCACAGGCTCAAGGAAAATTGATGGAAAATACAATGGCCGACACAAACACAAACAATAGCAGCAGCAACGAGTCCAGCGATCAGGTAGGAATTCGCGTGGAAAACAACCCGGACGATCACACAGACGCCTTCGGGTCGGTGGGCGGCAGCAGTGGTCCCACTGCAGGGTCCAGCTCCTCGCACCACAACAATGCATACGGCAGCGGAGCCATTGGACAGCTGGCCAATGGCTATAAATCGCCCTCAGCGAGCTATGGCAAAAATGTTGCCAAAATGGTCACGGATCGGCATGCCGCAGAGTACAATATGCGACACAAGAATCGTGGCATGGCATTGATCTTCAACCATGAACACTTCGAGGTGCCCACTTTGAAGTCGCGCGCTGGCACCAATGTGGACTGTGAGAATCTGACCCGAGTGCTGAAGCAGCTCGACTTTGAGGTGACCGTCTACAAGGACTGTCGCTACAAGGACATTGTGCGCACAATTGAATTGGCCGCCTCGCAGAATCACAGCGACAGCGATTGCATTTTGGTGGCGATTCTGTCCCACGGAGAGATGGGCTACATCTATGCCAAGGACACCCAATACAAGCTGGAGAACATCTGGAGCTTTTTCACGGCCAATCACTGCCCCTCGCTGGCCGGCAAGCCGAAGCTGTTCTTCATCCAGGCCTGCCAGGGCGACCGCTTGGACACGGGCGTGACAATGCAGCGCGGACATACCGAAACGGATGGCGACTCCTCGATGAGCTACAAGATACCCGTCCATGCCGACTTCCTCATTGCCTACTCCACCGTTCCGGGCTTCTACTCGTGGCGCAACACCACGCGGGGCAGCTGGTTCATGCAGAGCCTGTGCGCCGAGCTGGCTGCCAATGGCAAGCGCCTGGACATCCTAACGCTGCTGACCTTTGTCTCGCAGCGTGTGGCCGTCGACTTTGAGTCATGCACCCCCGATACACCCGAAATGCACCAGCAAAAGCAAATACCCTGCGTTACCACGATGCTAACGCGCATTTTGCGTTTCAGCGATAAGCAAATGGTGCCTGCCGGACGGGTTTGATGGCTACTAGTGTGGTTCTTGGGTTGGCTAAGGCATAGGCAAAGACGGGGTGTGTGATACGCGAAGGGGTAGGCTACAGTAACTCTGAAACTGTACTACAAACAACAATTTTCTACTTCAATTTGTTTATCCTATAACTAGGGCCATATGTGTACCTATCCTTTAAAAAGCATTTATTATCATCGGCTTAACAACTCTCTTGCCCTTCATAGATCAAATAGGAGCGAATAGCCCTTTTTTATATTTTTTTAAATTAAAATATTCGCATAAATACTCGTCTGTATGTTTAATCGAAGCATAAAGTGTCTCTCGTAATCGTCCAATTAAAACGCAAAAGATTTTAGCATTTAGTTAAGGTTTTTTATATATATCTTTATGTACAATTTATATTCTCTCTCTCTATAAAAACATGTATTAGCAAAAGTTTTCCTTTTATGTAAACCGCTAATAAAAAACAATAGAAAAACATATACCATTGGGTAAGCCATATCGGGCAAGGCGTTGAATCCACATTTTTGGGCCGCCTCAAGTTGAGCGAGATTTTCCTGAAAAGGAGTTTTCGGAAAAAAAGTCGAGACGAGTCAGTCGTTGAGGTGGACTTGACCCTGTCTGTCTGTGTGTGTCTGAGCTTACAATCACTTTATTCTTAGAGCTGTGACACAATGGAAATAAATTTAAAATTTGATATTACTTAAAGCACTACGTTCAGGATGGGTAAGTGGAAGGGAAGAATTTTTTAAAGCCTGTCTGCCGATCTATCTCTGAGGTTAGATAAATGCACATTTCTGATATTTTCTTTTGTTCAATTAAAAACGGGTTTCATTTTGCTCACAATTTCGCTTAGATGTGGCCCCCCTCCTTCAGTTTGGCCACCAAGGCGTCGACATCGGCCACGGTGGCACCGGCCTGGCGCACTGGCGGATCCTCCACGGAGATAATATCAATGCGTGGCGTGGTATCAATGCCCAAATCCTTGGCAGTGACCTTCTTCAGTGGCTTCTTCTTGGCCTTCATGATGTTGGGTAACGTGGCATAGCGTGGCGTGTTCAGCCGCAAGTCAGCGCTTAGTACGGCCGGTATCTTGGTTTTGATCGTCTCCAGGCCGCCATCGATTTCACGGGTGATGGTCAGGCCAGCGTCCGTCTTCTCGATCTTGTTGCAGAAGGTGCCCTGAGGCCAGTTCAGCACTGCTGCGGTCATCTGGGCTGTCTGATTAGCGTCATCGTCGATGGCCTGCTTGCCGAGGATCACCAGATCCGCTTTCTCATCCAGCGCCAGCTTGGCAAGAATCTTCGAAATGTGGATGGGCTGCAGCAGCTCGTACTCGGCCTGTGGCACCTCCACGTGAACGCCACGATCGGCGCCCATGGCCATGGCGGTGCGTATAACCTCCGCCGACTGAGCTGGACCCACGGACACGGCAATGACCTCAGTGGCCAGCTTCTTCTCCTTCATCTTCACGGCCTCCTCGACGGCAATCTCATCGAAGGGATTCATCGAGTGCTTCACGCCCTGGGTGACAACACCAGTCTTGTCGGGCTTGACGCGGACCTTTAGGTGGACACATTTGATAATGAATTGTTTAATTAAGTTTAATTCTTTCGATTACGCAAAACGCAACAAGTGATAAGAAGAAGATGCAACAGGCCATTTCTCGGCTTACCTTGACAGCATAGTCGATCACACGCTTAACTCCAACCAAAACACGGGCCATTTCTGTTCTAAAATATTATTATATATATATATATAGTTAATGGAATTATTTTAAAATCTTTGGCAGACTGATTTTACTCTTGATTTTGAGGGGGTGGTACAAAGGTCTTCTGTGTTGCTGACCAGGGCTGGCGATTTCGCTTTTTTCCGGTCAGATCTGGCTTTTTTTATAGGCTAATTCAATATGTATTAAAAATGATTTTTCTTTTCTTTCGCACTAACTCTGAAAATTGCTTATTTTAATAATTAAAACAATATGTTGCCTTCATCAAAAATCCTTTAATCCTAAATCATTAATTCAAATTCGGCTCTTTCTTTTGGCTTTTTTCTTTAAGCTAGAAACGTCTGTTTTTCTGTTGAAGAGCTGGCAGCACAACAATACTCGTACAGTTATGGTAAAACAGCTGTTGTACTTTCACACACTCACTTGAAGCATCATTTCGTCGCATTCCAAATAAAAAAGAAAAAGTACAGAAACATGGCTTCGACGGCTCCGGTTATCATGAGAATTATGGCATCTTCCATACAGACAGCCAAACGTGCGGGTGGCATCATTCGCGACGTGTTGAAACAAGGCGATCTGGGCATCGTGGACAAAGGAAAAAATGATCCCCAAACGGAGGCTGATCGTTCGGCACAGCGGTGCATCATTGCCTCGCTGGCGAAGAAGTTTCCCAGCGTCAAGATCATTGGCGAGGAAGGTGGCTCCGATCTAAATGTGTGCGATGATTGGCTGGTGGAAGATTCTGATGAAACATTTCTTCAGCAAAGCTGCCCGGACGAGTGGCGTGATGCAAAACCGGAGGATTTTGTGATCTGGGTAGATCCACTGGATGGCACAGCTGAATACACGCAGGGTAAGTTGGACACAGCAGACGAAACTCAACTCACTTAATGTAAACTCTACCCCCAAAAGGTTACGTGGAGCATGTAACTGTACTCATTGGCATTGCCATCAAGGACGCTGCCGTTGGCGGCATCATTCATCAGCCTTTCTACCAGCAGCCCGATGGTGAGCTGGGTCGCACCATTTGGGGACTCAAGGGTCTGGGCACAGGCGGATTTACACATTCGCTGGCCCCGCCCGGCGAGTTCATTATAACCACCACACGATCGCATTCCAATGCCCTGCATCAGCAGGCGCTCAATGCATTTCCTGCCACCAAAGTTATCAAAGTGGGCGGCGCTGGATTCAAGGTGTTGCAGCTGCTAGAGGGCAAGGCTCACGCTTATGTGTTTGCCACACCGGGCTGCAAGAAATGGGACACCTGCGCACCCGAGGCTGTGCTTGAAGCACAGGGTGGCTTCCTCACCGACATCAATGGCGAGCATTATGCCTACAATGCAGATGTGGAGCATGTGAATCGTCAGGGCGTGTTGGCCAGCGTCGGCGAGAATCACTCCGAGTTGGTGTACAAAATTCCACGCAAGGTGCGGGAGGCTGTGGGCGTATGAATGCGGAGTAACTTTCATCACTTGATTAGTTTATTTTCGACTAAAAGTAAACACATAACTTAAGCGATAACAGAAAAGTGTTGGGAAATAATCTTTGAGGGATGCGTGTAGGCGTGTAGAAGAGAATATACAATCTATTAGAAATCAACAGAAACGTTGCCAAAAATGTACACCGTCCGTCTATTTATCAAAGCTACTGCTCATGTTGCTGTTGGAGCCCAGGGAGCTGCTGCTGTTGAGTGCTGGCACTGTGTTGCTGCTGGCCATGTAACGATTGCGCTTTGCCTTGGGTATTTTGCAGGAGTGCACCGAGGCAGCAAAGCGCAAGGACTTCACCGACTCTTGGAAGCAGTCCTGGAAGGGCGAAACATTGATGAACATCAGCGTCTTGGAATTGCCGCCCAGCGAGGGCATTAGCAGGTGTGTGAGCTTCGAATTGCGATAGGGAATGTGGTCCTGCTTTTGAAGCAGTGCCAGAATGACGTTCGTCAGCTCGGAGAGCGAACGATTGATGCTCTTGGTTTCGGTCATGCGTATGCTGGTCTTTGGCGACTCAGAGCCGGCCAAGTCCACTAGATTGATGGAGCCCACCGATACTTCCTGCTTCTCTGCATGCCGCCCAATCAGTTGCAGCTTGGTCACGGCATGTGAGCGGGAGGAGCGCTCGTTGCCCGCCGTGGAGGCTGTGGCGCGATTCTGTCTGGCCATCAGCATAAGCTGGCGCAGGTGGTGGGGATCGGCGACCGTCTCTTCGGTTATGTTAGACACATAAATGTCGTTCTTGTTGTTCTTGGCCATGCGTATTTCCATGTCCTTCTGCTCGTTGCTCAGCAGATCGTACAGCACCTCGTTGTAGATCTCCAAGAAGGTGGCCTTAATCTCGTACTCCCAGCCCAAGTTGCGATATCCCTTTATGGAGTCGAAGAGCAGGTCTACGGTGCGTGGAATCACTCCCAATTCGGACGGCACACCGTCCATGGTGTAGGTCTTTCCACTGCCCGTCTGGCCATAGGCAAATATGCAAATGTTGTAGCCGTCAAGCGCGGACTGAATGAGCGGCGACACCATCTCAAAGATGTCCGTTTGCGTGGAGGTGGGGTAGAAGACCTGGTCGAAGGAGAAGATTTGCTGTCCCATTTTGTTCTTTGCCTGGCCATCCATGCTCTGCAGCTCGACTGTGGCCTCATCGTGGTATATATACGTGCAGCGGTTGCGGTCCAGCTCAGAGGGAAGTGGCGGACGTATTCGACAAAAGACTCGTATATTCCCGCGCAGATCCATGACCAAGTTGTGCAGCTCCTTGCGCTCCATGTTGGACTGGAACAGCTGCTCCTTGCATGTCTCCAGATCCTTTGCTTGCTGCTCGTTGCTGCGTAGTAGATCTTCGGTGCGCTGCCGCAGTTGCAGCACCTCCGCGGTCAGGCTTTCATGTTCCATCTTTATTTGCTGCAATGAAATTCGAATCGATCTGGAGCTGATCAATCTCTACATGGGATTTGATGTGCTTACCTTATGATTTGTCTGCAGCTCTGACAGCTCCTCTTTTGCTCGTCCCAGCGAGGTAGTGATTGTCTCAATGTTCTTGGCCTGCTGCTTCACCTGCCTGTTCAGACAGTCGTTGTCCGTCTGCACATTCTTCAGCGAGGATTCGGTTTCAATTAGCTTCGTCTGCGTCTCCTCGAGCTGTGTGGGTAGCGACTCCAACTCGCCCATATCCTCCACCTGCTTTTCATACTTGGTCTTGAGCACCTTGTGCTTGTCCAGCAGATCATGGAAACGGGCCTTGAAGTCATACGGCGCTATACGCTTTGGAGCTGCACTACTCGCTGCGCCACCACTTGCGCCGCCGCTTGCGGGCTTTGTTCTAGTGGCTGTGGCAGAGGCTGCTGCTGTAGTTGCTGCTCTGGGTAAAGGACGAGCAGCTAATGGTCGCTTGGTCACCGTGGAAGCCGTAGTTGAGGCTGTGGCTGTCGCTGTTGTAGTGCCGGCTAGTCGTCCCATACGCTGGACTGGCACTGTGGCAGTGGCGTTGCCAAAGCGCGAAACTTTGCTCGGAATGCTCGGCAATGTGGGCTGTGCTGCCGGGCGTTTGTTATTTAGACGCATCTCGTTGATATCGCAGGCCGAGCGACTTCGTCTCAATTTGGCGCGGTTCAATATTTTTGTAGGCTCCGGTGAGGCAGCGCGACCCCCTGATAAAATAAGGCAAAGGTTGGGGTGATGGATGATCGCTGGAAATGCTTTGTACCCACTTACCCATGCGACGTTCCATGACTTGCGGCAAATTGTTAATATCTCGGGAGAGCGGCGGCAGCAAATTTCCACAATAAGTTTGGTTTGTATTGAAGGCGCCGGCTCCGCCTGCTTTGATTCGATCTGTGGGCAGTATACTTTTTACCTGCATCGCGGGCCGCTTTATGCTCGACGGTTTCGGCAAACGGGATTCCATTATTATTATTTTGTATATTCAATTGTCTATTTTTCTGGTCACTTCAAGTTGAATGGATAATTTGAATTGATTTTTGATGGACAGACGCGTCTATTGAACGAGAAGAAGCGACGCTCCGACGCCACTTCGCGCCGTTAATTTCGATTGTAGGGTTGCTTTGGAGTTACCGGCGCTGCCATCTGTATCTTTTCAGACACTCTGGCCAGCCCATGCGATAGTTTACGCAAATCATATGTTCCAGTCGGAACACCAGCTCTGCGAAATTAGTAAAGAGGATTCTGAGAGGATATGATAGAATTAGGAAATGTTTGAAATCTCAGGCTCCAATGGATGCATACGCCAGTCTGTATCTGTTGTAAAGCCGACTTTAGATAAAGCGTGTTACACGGAAACAAAGTAAGTAATTATGGTTAAAAGCAGCTTGGGAAACGGAATATCCACTTTAATTCATGAAAATAGGGTATAGAAATGCCCATACTACGTTGACAAGCAACAAGTTATCAAATGAACTCCGAGCCAATTAAATAATTTACTTATGTTCCCTTTGTGCAATTTTCAAAAAAACAATATAATTTCTTATCCTTATCTGTTCCGCGCGCATTTTCAAAAATTTTCATGATATCAATTAACATACACGTTGTCTATACATGTTACATACATTTACATACTGAACATAAAGCTCCATTGCTTCCCCAAGGGGTGAATTGAATGAACAAATCAAATATATAAGGTCATAAGGTATATAATCCAATAGAAATCAGTATTTATACTAAGCAAAATTGATTCTTCAATCGGATTAAATTATTGTTTTAGTGCTAAAGTCTAAGGGGCTAAGTCTTTATTAGCTAGTAATATTAAATGGAATATCAAAAGCAAGGAACATTTGTTTTGGGTTCGGTATATTATCAGTATACTTTTAAATGAGAAGATATATTTTCGAATATTTTTGAGGGTCATGCGGAATATTTGATCGATAAGTCCGCGACCACACTGGCGCAGAATTAAACACAAAAAAAAGACGAAAAGAACCAAAAAAATTAAGTAGCAGCAGAAAAAACTATTTGCAGTGCGAGGGCTCGCGAGACCGGAAAAACCTCAAGTCAAGTGATGGCGGGGCACGCAGAACTCAAGGAGCTGAGCGTGTTTGAGCTGCGTCCACTTATTACAAATATCAGCTGCAAACTGTCGGCAGTCACCGCAGGTTTTGATGAAAAGCAATTGCTGGCGATTGTCAGCGAGGAAAATGAGATTGTGCTGCGTTATATCAGCGCAGCTGGGCAGGAGGTGGTCAAGATGATATCCTGGTTCCGACACCGTGTCATCCATGACGTGTGCTTCGATCCTGCGGGCATTTGGCTGCTGGTGCTATGTAAGTACCCCGGATGGTGTTTGTCGCCCCTAGCATGAGGGTGGAGGTGTAGGTGTAGGGCTGGTGTTTGCTGTTCGTTGTTCAAGCCTAAAATTACTTTGTTCCCAACCATCCTCTCGGCGTATGTGCATGTGGGTATGTGTGTGTGTGTGTGCGGGTGCGTGTGTGATTATTGATTTTCTTTTGCGTATTTTGTTTTGATTTATTAATGCTGAAGTGGAGGATGCTCCTCCTCCAATTGGGCCTTGGATCGATGCTAATGTTACTCACCTCTGCTCACAAATATATCAACAGGTTTTGACAATACGCTGCACATTGTGCCCGCCCTGGCGCTGGTGGACAAGACGAATATTCTGGCCGCCTGCTCACTGTACAGCACCACACAGGTGACCTCCTATATCATACCTTTTGTTGGTCCCCACGAGTGCCCCAACTCCAAGAAGTGCCCCAATCACTCAACGGCATCGACTGAGCAGCAGCCGGCACCAGCAGGGATCCACGAAGAGGAGCAATTGGCCGAGAAGTTGGCCAATGTTCTGCAGCTGGACGAAAATGCAGATGCCGAGCCCTTGGGTCACGAGCTGCCCGATCATATGCTGGTCAAAAACAATGAACAGGATGTGGCCGAAGAGCAGCAACAGCAGCAGCAGCCGCCCGTCCAGCCACAGTTTGATGCCACTGGCAATAGCCAGGTGATGGCAGCTTCCTTCATGGCGTCCAAGACTTGCCCGTATCCCCTTTCGGTGGTGTGGTGGAAGACCAACCATGGCCTGAACAGGGCCATTATTGGCTACTCAGATGGTTCCATCTGCTTTGTTGGCCTTAGCCCCAACTGCCCCATGATTGCCAGCACCGCAATCGAAAATGGATCTGTGATGCGTTTAGTTATCTGCAAGGACAAAACCTACGATGGAGTAATGTTGCTGGTAAGCTACAAATGTTGTTTCTGATTAGACTCAACTAATTTGTGCGCTCCCCCTTAGATCACCTCCTCCCTGAAGGAGCAGTACAAGTTGCTGCTGGAGCAAAAGGCCATCATGTACGTTTATCCCGGAGATAGTTCACCGACCACACGTGAGGGCGCCTGGCAGATTGTCATGTCGGTGCAGGGCAAGCATCAAAATCATGCTGGCTTAGCGGCAGGTGCACGACAAAACAACAGCTCCGATCCAGCCTCGGACAGCAGCCAGCTGGAAGAGGATGTGTTTGCGCCGCCATCCAGCGCCGAGGATGTTCCGCCCAGCTTTCAGGCACCCACAGTGCCCACAGATGTGTCTGCCGTCCCGGTGGTGCCAGTTGAGGCTAGAGCTCAGGAAATGCAGCCACCGCCAGCCCCACCATCCTACAGCGAAGCGCTGGCCCGTCAGTCCAGCGAGAGCATGGGCGTACGCTTTCATCAGCAGCAGCTGCACACGGCTAGCAACAGCATCGATGGCATACTGCCAGCGACAAGAGCACGCCTGGCCTCGCTCAAGAGTCTCGGATCGAAGAAGCTGCATGCCATCAAAATGAGGCTCTCCGATCAGCGGCAAAAGTTCGATGAATGTGCGTAAGCAAAAGAAAAGTCTTTGTCTCGTCCTTATCCCTGTTGTTCTTTGTTCATTTGTTAATGTTGCAATTTGTTTATTTTATATATTTGTTTGTTTTTTTTCTTCGATTGGTGTGCAGTTTTGAGAGAACTGTTGCATCTTTTGAGGCGTCGCTTGTGCGGTGAGTCTCTCACACTCAACAGACTGCCATAGACCTGCCAACTAGCTACACTTATCCACCACCCTAAACACATTTTACTCATCTTTATCCCTATCCCTTGTCTTGTTCTAGTAATGCCGGACTCCAATTTGGGTTCTTTTGCCATTATGGACTCACCCTCGGTGACCCCAGAGCCGCTGGGCAACACCACAGGCTCGTTCTACACCATCCAGAATCTGCGTAGCACTTTTCTGCTGAGTGCCCTGCACAGCAATAGTCACAGTCTGACGGTGCACAGCATTGACATTAGCCTGAAGCCGCTGTTTGTCTACAAGATACCCAAGCACACCCAGGAAATACTCATCAGTTCGAACATACTCTACGGCATCAACTATGTGGATCTGCACAGTCGCAGCGATTCGGCCATATCGACGGCAGCCTCCTCGCTGGAGGAGCCGCTGGTGGCCAACACGGACAAGGAGAATCGCGATGCGGACACCGAGAAACTGGAGGAGCAAAGGGAGACCAATGCACACAAGAGCGACACAACGAGTGCGACCACCACTGCCACATCCAGCATGGACCAGAGCGAAATGCCCAGCAATGCCATCAATGCAGTCAGTGTGATCAGCAGCGCCATGGCCTCAATGCATACCTCCGATGAAGATGTAAGTTTCTACGATCTTTCGTCTTATGGTCCCATATTTGATGTGTCTCTTTTGGTAGCGCTTCAATACGCTGGCACAGATTGGACTCTTTCGCTTTGAGCATGAGACTGTGCTGCACCTGTATCAGATGGCGCAATATCGCCAACCCGCCGGCCAGCCAGAGGCCCTAACCAAAGAGGAGAAGGCCAAGGCATTCGAAATCAAAGATATTCACACGCCCATGGACTACATACAGTTTTACGAGACGGCCGATGTGATCGGTGATTTCTCGCTGCGACAAATGGAGATAATGCAGTCAGAGTTCCCCAAAATCAACTACGATCCCAGCTATGTGATTACCAACAAGAATGTCTACACTATACAGCTAAGGTAAGGTGGCAAAATCGAGCATTTGCTGCATGTAAAAGTCATTTTTTTCGTACTTGCAGAAAGGAGCCGTTTGAGTTGTTCTTGGATGCTGCGCTGCAAAGCGAGTGGAATCAATGCCGCGACTTTTGCAACACCTTCGACCTGTCGTTCGAGCTGTGCATTGAGTTTGCCGGTGACTATTTGCTGCGCCGCAAAAAGATTACGCAGGCGCTGCTCACGTACAATGTGGCGCGGGTGAAGCCCATACGCACAGCCCTCAAGCTGGCCATGTACGGCCACACGTACGCCCTGATGCAGCTGAGCGCCATGGCCCTGAAGTCCACATATCTGCTGAGATCGAAGCATGTGGGCCATGCGTTGCTCAAGGGCATGATGGCGGACATCACCTACCGCCACTCGGAAGATGTGCGAATGATTTTGCCACAGATGCGAGAACAGGGCGTGGTCAACAGTGGGGCCACCTGCAGCGACTATTGCTATGGCGTGGATGAGTCCATCAGTGCGCTGCAAATGTCACCCTCATCGCAGTTTCATTTGGCCAATCTGCTGCTCATAACGCTGGCCGAGAAGGCAGTCAATGATAAGAATTATATGCCACTGTGGTGAGTGTTTGACGTCCATTCAATCGTAAATAAATCTTAATTTTCTGATTGTCTTTTGCAGGAACTTTCTGGTGACCAATAGCAAATATCACACAAACATGACCAGCATTGTGCTCTGCCAGAGCGGACTCTTCTCATCGGCCATCATATTGGCGAAGACGCGTGGCGTCTGCCTGGATACGTTCAATGCGCTGATCAGCGTGGTGGCCCAGGAGTTTGGCTGGTACAACGAGCTCAATGTATGCCTGTACAACCTAAGCGAGAGCATATTCATGGAGACAATCACCTACTTGCCGCACGTGTCCATGGACTACTTTGCCTTCATCCAGGAGAAGCTCGATCACATACGACCCTGTGTGCTGCAGCGGCTCTCCCGGCAACTGAATCCATTCTCGCCAGCGCTGCGACCCATTGTCTCGCACAGCAGCGGCTGCGGC